AAACCATTTCAGGTGACTACCTCTTGAAGCTCATGGAGAGAATGCCAAGAGTGTGCAAAGCAGTAATCAGAGCAAAGGGTGGCTATTTTGAAGAAACTAGAATATAAAACATGTTTTCAGTTATTTCACCTTTTTTTCTTAAGTACATAACTCCACATGTGTTCATTCATAGTTTTGATGCCTTCAGTGAGAATCTACAATGTAAATAGTCATGAAAATAAAGAAAACGCATTGAATGAGAAGGTGTGTCCAAACTTTTGGCCTGTACTGTACATATATGTATATATATAGGGTGTCTCTGATTACCATGGAGACGGCTGAAAGATTTGGCCAAAGCACAAATTGAAAACATTGCTTGGCTCTTTAATTTCTGTGAAGCCACACTGTTAAGGAGTGTCGAGCACCCTACCACAAATCAGAATTGATGGTTATATGTTTGTAGAAGTGCACATCAGTCTAGCCTATTATGTGTTGAAGAGATAATTAGATGTGGCACACCCAGTTTCTTTAGCTTCGCTAGTGGGACTGAGCTGGTCGAGCTGAGATAATCCTTCCTACAGCTACAATAAATGGGAAACTAAAACTAAATGATGCAAAGACAATATAGTCATAAACGGTATCAGTACCCTCAGTAACAACTGCCACATTCTGCTTTAATATAACGCACTATAATTACACACACTATACACCATCATTACAGGACACAATCAGCCTGTAATGAGGCGCAACCTTGAAGCTAAGTATTGAGGTTAGCAATGTTCTTGCTGCAGCTCAAAAAGAAAAGAAGTCTTCAGCAACAGAAGTGAGAGGTTTCTATGCAGAGGCAATTCTGGCGTACTGTCGTCAAAGCTAATGCACTAAAGTAACAGCTAGTACACAGAGCGGCACGTGAACCATCAATGCAAGAACAAATTTTATCATTGATGATTGAGTACCGTCCAAAGCCTAAAGGGGCGGTTCGGTGAAGTGGGGTTGTATGGGGTACTTATCCATAGTCAGTGTATTACCTTCAGTAGATGTCAGCCCGCACGCCTCCAGTTTGGAGAGGCAGACAGGCGTGCCGCCATGGAAGCTAAACAATGTACTGCCACAGAAAAACATTTAAATAACTCAAGTGTACACTATACTTAAATTATTTTCACCGCTTTACTTTGCCGTCAGCCAGCCCTTTCCAATGGGGAATTGAAGCGGTTATCTACTCTCTCTTCAAAGTGACCAGACTAATAATACATCAGAGAACAGCGGAGTTGCTGGTCTACCACTGCCTCAATAGGTTAGTTTGTTTATGTCATTGTGTGACTTTGTTGTTTTAAAGAGTTAGTTCAAATTCACCAATCGTGGCAAAGGAGTCTGTAGATTGAAATAAAGGCTTCAGTCACCCATCGGAAAGGGCTAATGTTTTATTCTAATTATAACTTTCCCTGAAAGTGATACTGATTTTTCAAAGTGGCAAAAATACATTTTCACTTCACTTCATAAAATCCTGACTATCCCTTTAAGAAGTGCAAAAACAGGCTTATTTAAGTTACATGTTCTGTATATGTCATCTTTGTGATGGTTGTGGTGCAGAACTTTGGCTCAGTGGTTAACACCATCGTCTCACAGTGAAATGGTCGATGGAGGGGCATCCTAGTGGTTAATAGAGACTGTACAACCACAATGTTCCCTGACGTGATTCCATCCAGGGACGTTTGCTAAATGTCATACCTCTCTCTCTTTCTCTCCGCATTTCTTGTGAGGCTCCACACTGTCAACTATCAAATGAAAGCAGAGATGCCAAGATGTCTATGGTCTCTGGTTCTCTGTGCGTGGAGTCAGTGTATTCTCCCTGGCTTTGTGTGGGTTTCCGCTGGGTGCTCCAGCTCCCTCCTACAGTCCAGAACATGATCCCAAGGTACACAGAATCCATGCTGCAATTATTTTTGATGTTTTAATTTGTCATAACGACATAATTATTGTCTGATCTTGGCACAACAAAAACTGTAACACATGTGTAACAGTCATGCCTTACGTCTACTGATTAGAGATGATTACCACATTAGAAATTGATGCATTTTAACCTACTGCTCCTGATATCCTGACAACTAGAGAGTCTCTGAGATGATGAATAATTATTTGTAATAACTAGGAAACATTTTATGATCACATAACAACACATGATTAATTGCAGCTGTGGCTTCTCCAGCTTTTAACGTGTATATCAGGTGAATTGTGAACACTAAATCACTCACTGATACGAATACATTTGTCAGAGCTTTGATAAACTGGCAGCCTGTCCACTGTGTTTTCCTGGCTTTTGCCCAAAACATGCTGGGACAGGCTCCAACCCCCACGTGACACTGAATTGGAAAACAGTTGGTATTAACTTGAATTATGTGAATGCTTTATACAGTAAAGGTTGCCTACCTCTCTTGGTCAGCACTTCGAAACCGGGGCAAAATCATTTGTCTGAAGCTGCTGGTCCGGTCCAGTTTGGGTTGGCTTTTCGCCCTCTTGATGGAGCCCTTCAGCCTTCGATTGAGAAAACTCTTAAGTTTCAACAGGGGGAAATAGAGAATAATAAGTAAATAGTAAAAACAACCTCCCCAGGTTTTAGAATATACGGCAAAATGCAATTCTAGTGGGCTTGGCTAGAAACCTTATGTATTAAAATGATCTATGGAAGTCACAGCTCTCCTTCAGGCATCACACTGGCTTTTTGCTCCTGGTGGGAGTTTACAAGATCGGACTGGGCCCGAAAAAGTGTACAAGTTTTTGTTTTGTTCAAGATATCTTTTTTAGATAGCGATAGCTTGAGAGAGACAGGAAAGGCAGGGGGTAGAGAGGATGACACAGGTTGTAGTCAACCCAGGCTAGCCTTGATACACTGTGAGCATATTCGACCAGGTAAGCTACTGTGGTGCCCCGTTCGTGTTTTCCAAGTCATGCCCCTCTGCGTCTGAAGCATACCCACAAGGCTCCCTTTAGTGTTTTTATGAGACGCACCAGGCTTTCAACTAACTCCAATGTAAACCCATCTGCTGTAATATTAGACGCTCAGAGCAACTGCTAGAACGAGCGACAAAATCTGCACAGACATGCAGTTGAGGTTGACGGATGGGTCAAACAAACACAGGACTTTCACCTCGAAGATTACTGTTCATGTTCCATGTGAAACCAAAAGCAAATGTTGATGCATTTTAACAAAAGGTGAAGGAAGTTACGAATGTATGTTATGCCCCTTTGTACCTTTCTGAACACCTTCATAACTACACACTCTCCCGTCCTCTCACTAGCATATTTGGTCTGACCTAATGGTGACACACATATCAAGATTTGCACTTTATGAATTTCATGCCTAGTTTTTCTAACTATGATTTTTGTAAAGTTATTCTATGAACTTGTTATTGTATATTATTGCTTTGTTTGACTTTATTATCTATGGATACATTGCTGCTTGTTTTTAACTGTGTCCTGTAAGGTGTCCTTGAGTGCTTTGAAAGGCGCCCATTTAATCCAAACCATGATCTTTCTTTCTGAGCCTAACCGAGTAGTTTTGTTGCCCAAACATAACCACAGCCAGTTATTATATATTATCTACGTGTATCACACAGAAGACAGCTGTGCATCTGATACAGACGAGAGGTTGTGACAAAGCAACGACCTGGGAATAACAACGGGCTGTGTCTTCTATGTGAGCAGAAAGCTTCGATACACATCAGGAGAGTGTGACAGACCCTACTGTACTCACCGGCTGTCTGAAGGGCTGAGGGGTGGCATTGGGAGGGGTCTCCATGCTTGACTGTCTTACAGAGGCAAAACTTGCCCTGCGGGATTGGTCTATTCGAAGAGAAAGAAAGAGATCAATAAGTCATTACACCCTGTCAACAAATGGTATCCAACCCTCAAAGGATACTCTAAATGTGTTATTCTAATTATTATAAAAATGTGTTTGAGTATTTTTCCAAAATTCATATGGTGCTTTATCAAAGATCATGCTGATTACCAACATGCTGGAAATCTCAGGATTTTGATGATGAGCCCTGCAAACTGCCTGTGAGTCAGACTAATGGCTGCTGAGTTAAAGCCATTTAAATTTATCATGTTGCTGTAGGGCTGTTGCTGGGTAAATTTCCATCAAATTTGGCAAGATTGCCCAGACAGTTAATCTGCGCTCGTGTCATCTAAATTAGGTAGCAATTACACAATGCATTCAGCGATTATGACAATTTAATGTCAAATGTGTCACACTTACTTTGGCAGCTAATAATAGGAAAATGGCGCAGAATCAGGAAACAAATGAATAACTTTTAGAGCTCATCCAAACACATTTTGTAGTGAAGAAACGGTAAAATATTTAAGAGCGCTGAAAAAAAACACCCCTTTTCCTTTCAACTTGAATGACAATTAACAGTGCGTTGGCTTACAAAGTGCTCTGACACTCCTGTGAGATTTTAAAACAACATGGGGCCATGAGCATTATTACAGAGATTTGATGATGTAATAACAAAATGACACAAAATGTCCCTTGAAATGGGTCACAGAAGGACTAAAACATATTGGTATCATTTTGCAGTTTAATAGATAATGTCGTTATAATGTTGAATATTCTTTTCCTCGTAAGTTATTTAAGCAATATTTTTTTACATTATTATTATCAAATTGTTACCAAAAAGCACAATTTATGAGGTCACTGTTGATCAGTTAAGAGGGACATTTAATTACATTTTGACAAGTTATTACATTATCTCATTCACAGCTTGTGTCATTACCTCGCAGCTGCTTTGGTCACATACAGAAAGGAAAATAGTATGACACATACATAATAATCACAAATAAGCTACCAGCACATCAACAATGCAGAATAGTCGGTGTGAGTGAAGCTCACCAACAAGGACAGACAGCTACAGCCTTCAGAAAGCACAAAGAACAATGATGTGACAGCCTGAGAGACATTTAGACACTATTCATCCATTGGAAAACCGTCCGTATCCAAGGCCGGTGGAAAATGAAGCAAAAGCTGATGTGAGAACTATATCGGATATCTATATGGTGGGAAGAAGTAGCACTGAGTCATCTTGATCTTTACGGTCCTTGTCTGACTTTGGGCTTGTGCAAACTGGAACATGATGACGGATCTATAAAAGTATAGACACATATCTGTGGGGAATCAGATCTGACGCTTCCTCTACATGACTGTGCGCTGGCTAAGGAAGATGAGGCGAGTGCACAGAGCGGGGGCATTGGTGAGTGTGAATACTCCACACATTACTCCAAAATCATCATCCCTTTATACGAACAACAGAAATGCAAGAAGGGTTTTATAAACAGAGCTTTCTATTTTTATGCAACATTTTTATGAGCAAATTTCCTCCCTCCTGAAAAATGTTCCTATTTCCTAGTCTGGTTCCAGACCTGTGGACTGTCGCCTACATGTCTAAATTGCTCAGCAATTCAAATAGGTCTCATATTGACTATTACTGATGACCAATCAGGGTTTTAGTAGGTGGTGACGCCGTATTTCTGCATCCCTACATTCATAAGAAAAATAGTGACAGAAAAATAGTAACAAACATGGATGAGATTGACACTGCTGTGTAAGTTGTTGTAAGTCCAGTTACAGAAATAACTAGTAAATACTACTATCTTTATTAATCGATCATTTAAATGAACTGTTCTTGAGAAGCACTACCTTGGCTTCTGCTTAAAGTGAAAATGACATTGGTGAGCGGGGGTGGGCGGATCCATCCCAAAATATCAATACTAAAGATAGTACATTTTTGTTTTGAAGATCATTCTAGCGTAAGTATGATCGATACCAAAAAAGGATCCGTTTCTCTCTACGTTGTAAACATTTGCATTTCAAGATTAAAACTTTCTGTGCAAACACTGTGTTAACACTGTGAAAACACATGAGTTTTTCATGGTACGATAAGTGTCTCAGAAAATACAACAGTTTCACGGTTTAAAGTATTACACAATTATTGTTGTTACTATCGGTGACAAGGACTTTTACAGGTCTGGTGTGTAGGATTTAGAGGCATCTAGTGGCTGAGGTTACAGATCACAAGCAATTAAATACACAAATGTCAAGTCGGAGGCTGAGTCCAGATGTCTACCCTCTGGACTTGTGGACTGAACCCTCGCAAACTTAAGATGTACCTTGTGTGACGTATTTACTGTCATCACGTAAAGTAGAGACTGCAAGCGACTGCTAGACAGCCCTCAGGACTGTTTTACTCGTTGCCGTGGAAACGTTCAACTATCGCTGCTGTTATATTCATATATATGTCATATAACTGATGAACAGTGCCAATTCATATGCACCCACAGATAACAAGATATAAATCCCATGTATAGTCTTTTTTGTGACTGACCAAATATCAATATATCAGGCTGCACGCTTCAATATCAGAAAATACATAAGGACTTTAACTCAATAAATTGGGCCTTACTTATATTAGAAGACCTTCTTTTGCTGTTTTTTTTTTTTGAAGGTTTTTCAGCCTATCACACTGCACAGCCTGATAAGCTGCAATAATAAAATGCATTTTAAGTCCCTCTACAGTCTGTGCTTAAACATATTTCTGTATCATGATGTGGCTGAATATTATTTCTGGCCTACTCAATTCATGTAACACTTTAATAGGCCTAACTATCAAGAACTATTTATAACAGTTAATAACAGTTTGCTGCTGCAGAGCAGCTGAGCAGGCCTGTCTCCTCAACAACAGAGGCTAAATAAACTGTGTCTGACTATAAGGTTAATGTCTTCAGAGTAAAAAAAATACAAGATAACAGCTTAAATTAAAGATCAGTTAGTCAGGGCTTCACATCTGTACAAGTCTTTGTGATGCTGAATACTTCAATAATTACAGCTGCTGCGCAGCAACCGTCGGGGCCGGGCAATTTTAGGCAAAATTAGGCAATTCTGAGCAACACACACACTAAAACAAAGCATATCACAACATAGAAGTTACATCATATAATTATGGCATGCCCTTCAAATTGTGGATGAGTGGCTCAAGTGACCAGACTCATAATATACAAAGGAAAGAAAAAACTCAAGAACAAGAAAGTAAGAATAACATTAAGTTCTAGCAATTACGAACAAACTGGCCTGATCTAGCTTAAAGCTAAACATTATCCATGGTGACAAAGATGAAAACATTTTTTAAAATGTAAAAGTAGTTATTGGATAGACTCTGCATATTGACTGATAGCTAAGCCAAATCAACAGGGAAAAGACACAAGGGATAACAGGGTAAAGTGTTGATAAAGAGTATTTGTCTCTCCGTGAAACTGCCTGGATCATAATTATTTTAACCTTGGTAGTCTCTAATCCACATATCATGATGCCTGAACATAGGACTTTCACATTAGAATGTCCGTTCTGCCTTAGCTGAGGCTTGAACTCACAACTTCTGAGACTGAGGTCCGTCTTCTATCTCACTGAGCTAATTGGCAAGTGACAGTTTATGTGTGGCTTCACAAACAGCAGCTGTTAGTGTGTAAAGGCAGATTTCAAACGGCTGTCAAAAATTCAGTTATTAAGACAAAAATCCGAAAATACACAAATTGCATCTAGACAGCATGGAGATGTTGGTCATTTGTTTTTAACAATGATTTATTGGCTCCATACATGAAAAACTGATGTTTAAAATGATGTTTTTGCATTGACTCCAACTGTTCGCATGGGAGCGAAATTCAAAATGCTGTAAAAAAAATTCAGTTTTTGAGATAAAATTCTGATATTTTCCAAACATCATCTACCATGACTCCAAAATTTTGTCATTTTTTTTTAATGAACATTGAAAATGTATTTAGCAAGAATTTGCATGTATATGTTTACATTACCGTTTATAGTCAAACATTTTGATGCACTGTAGGCTCATTTTTTGATAAATCAAAAATCTGTGTGGTTCGTTTGTGTAGGTCAGTCTGAAGATGCTCTGTAGCAAGTTTGGTGTCAATTGAGCAAAAATTGTGGGAGGAGATAGGTTTAATAAGTTTTACAGTTTTTGAAAAAAAACAGTGATGGACTTCATAATTTGCAATAGGTTTAAATGTACAAAAGTGTCTTCAGTATTGGGGCTACATTTTGGTGAAAGTTGTAGCACATATGGTTGATTTGTTGTGAATTTTCAAAATTTTGAACTTTAGAGGCTTGCTGTAGTGCCACCATCAGGACTATTGGCCTGTTTTGCAGCCGAGGCAATCTGGCATGGGACTGGACCTTTGTGCAAAGTTTGGTGATTTTTCGCGAATGGGAAGTAGGATTTCCTCGGAAGAAGGAGAAGAAGAAGAAGAAGAAGATGATGCAGGATAACAATAGGGTCCTGGCAGCTTAGGCTGCCTGGCCCCTAATTAAAACAGTCCAATGTTAAAGTACAGCAGACTACATATAGTTTATGATACAGTAAAAATGTGAATAACTGCATTGTAGCATGTTTTAACGTGTGCCCCTAAATTTTCTGCTTGTGCTCCTTTTTCAGTGAGGGGCTACAGTGCTGCGACTGAAAAAAGTTAGTCTGGAGGTAGGATTTTACGCACAATGAGTCCTTTTTTTTGGGAACCTGTTTGTGTATTTGCAGTGTATTTGTATATTTGCAAAATACCTGTCTTTTTTGTATTTGTGAAAGTTGTTTTACATTTGCAGATTACACATTTACACACAGATTGTCAACCTGCTTCCACAAATAATAATGAGACAAATCTATCTCCATAGTAATGACAGCTATACTGTGGGGAACGAAGCATCTCTACTTCAAACCAAAGATTTTTTTAGCTTTGGTTGAACAATAAAGCCACGTCCTATTATATACAGATATATATTGTTC